GGGGAATTTGGAATTTGGGGAATTGGAGATTTGGGGAATTTGGAATTTGGGATTTGGGGAATTTGAAATTTGGGGAATTTGGGATTTGGATACTTAAGAATTTGCATATTTGGGAATATGGAGGTTTGAGAATTTAGATATTTGATGGTTTGATGGCAGTTTAGAGACTTAAGGATTTAGGAATTTGTTCATTTGAAGGTTTCAAGTCTTGGAGATGAGAATATTAAGAAATTGATGGATTGGTGATATGTAATCACCACCTTGTAATCTGATAATTTAATAATTAAAAAATTTGACAAACTGAAAATTGAAAAATTTTTTAAATCTGACAAATTGAGAATTGAAAAATCTGACAAGCTGAAAATTGAAAAATTTGAATCCCTTAAAGTGCAATAATTCAAAAGCTAGTACCTAAGAAAAAATAACCACGGAATTCCAAATGGTAATGTCTAATTTTCTTTCATCCAACACAAAGAACCCGAGGAAGGGAAAATAACAGCGGCATGGCGGAAGCATCGTCAAAGAGCCACAGTTACTACAGAAAGCATCGTAGATGGTTTCCAGCGTGTTGCCGTCGTGAATTTTAGCACCTTTTCACCGTTCCCTCGGCAAACACTTTTCCTCCATCTTCGAATAATCGAGGACAGTCCCGTTTACCGTCTCTCGTTCGTTTCACTTAGCGCGCGTGCTTCTTGCATTTAGCGCGATAGCCGCTCGAACGGCTAAGCGTTAATGAGACACCTGCGGACCAATAACGGAGAGGATCGTGGAGAGACCGGCCGTGTCTTTGTCCTCCATGGAATAGCTTATGAATCCCTGGAACTTCCGTCATTATATGCAATGCAAATTTCCTCTCAACTCGATCGAGTCAGGGAAAAACATGGGCTTCGATGAAAATATTCTTCGAACTTTGTACTTTGTACCTTTAAGGGGGGCAATACCTTTAGGCAGTTGAAAATAAGCTGATATTTGTGAATTTTTTTGTATACACCTTTGTTTTGCATTTTCGACATTTCAGGTATAATTTATTATAACTATTGCCAATTACAGAATATTTTCTGTTTAGAAAAATATTTAAAAGCGACGGAATTATGACAATCCTTTCTGGAAGTGTTTTGACGCGTCTCGTGAATCGGCGTGGGTTCTAGCTTTAGATATATTGGTCTGATACAAGTTTGCAGGCAATTTTTCGAAAACTAACATTCACAGTTAGTAGATAAACCTCAGAAATGTGCAAAATATGTAAAACTGAAGAAATGGAGCGCTTTTAAAGAAAAACTTTGAATTTTATTGCAATATTTTGCAATAAAAAAGGACACACATGTCTACATATCATAGTAAATGACAAATTCAAGTTAACATATTCTTCGAGTTAAAATCTGAACCTTATTTTAAAAAATATTATATGTATATATTTGATTACTATATTTTTGTATTTAATAAACAACATATGAAAACTCACACATGTCCACATATCACCATCACATACAAATCATCATATAAATCATACAAAATCACGATAATTATACATGAAACAGGCATATATGAATGCTTTGATATACGTATTTTGTAGTATAATGTATCGGTGTCGAATTTATGAAAACGATGGTAGAAGACGAGAAACGGAAGCATCGATTTCAAGAGGGCGGGGGTTGCACGAATAATAGCTTTAGCGCGCGGATGGAAGCCAATGAAACGGAAGTCAACAAATGGAAACAACGTGGGCGTGAAAGTTGGAAAGGTCGACGATGTTCGATCATCCATCAATTTGATCGTGGAAACTAATGCACCTTTATCGGCAATTCCGATTGCGTCGTTTTCCGAAACCTAGCCTCGCCATTTTCTCGTGGTTTCTAAGTTCAGTATAAATCAACCCTCAAACGGTTGCTGCTTCTTTTGGAAGCTTTTTAACTCTTTGTCGTGCAACATTGTGCCACGTTCGTGATGTACAGTTCATCCTTAACACTAGAACTACCGACATTAAATGCTCGTTTATCGAAGAATGAAAAATAAAATGAAAAGGGAAATAAATAAATACTGAAGCATCAAGTAACATGTAGAACTAATTTTTACCTCAAAAAAATATGACAGATATTTTCATAACATCACGACAATATAATTTTGTAATATAAAATAAGAAATCTGAGACCAGTCATTTTGACTGGTTGGTAGTTTTAGTGTTAATAAATGAGACTCGTATATTCATCGCAATTGAATTTTGTGTTCACTTACTATTGTAATCTACACATTTGAAGTTCGTTGAATACAATATACAATTCCTAAATCCCGAAATCCCTAAATTCCCAAATTTCTAAATTCCTAAATCACCAAACCACTAAATCATCAAATCATCAAATCATCAAATCCCTAAATCACCAAATCCCTGAATCACCAAATCCTTGAATCACCAAATTTCTGAATCACCAAATCCCTGAATCACCAAATCCTTGAATCACTAAATCCCTGAATCACCAAATCCCTGAATCACCAAATCCCTGAATCACCAAATCCCTGAATCACCAAATCCCAAAATCCCCAAAATGCCCAAAATGCCCAAATCCCTAAATCCACAAATCTCCAAATCCCCAAATCACCAAATCCCTAAATCATCAAGTACTTAAATCACCAAATCTCGAAATCCCCAAATCTCTAAATCCCCAAATCCCTAAATACCCAAATCCCTAAATCACCAAATCCTTAAATCCCCAAATCCCCAAATCCCCAAATCCTCAAATCCCTAAATCCCCAAATTCCTAAATCCCCAAATTCCTAAATCCCCAAATCCCCAAATCCCTAAATCACCAAATCCTTAAATCCCCAAATCCCCAAATCCCCAAATCCTCAAATCCCTAAATCCCCAAATTCCTAAATTCCCAAATCCCTAAAACCCCAAATCCCTATTTTCCCATCTTCCTAAATTCCCAAATTCCTAAACTCCCATCTTCCTAAATTCCCATCTTCCTAAATTCCCAAATTCCTAAATTCCCATCTACCCCTAAATCCCCAAATTCCTAAATCCCCAAATTCCTAAATCCCCAAATCCCCAAATCCCTAAATCACCAAATCCCTAAATTCCCAAATCCCTATATCACCAAATCCCTAAATCACCAAATCCCTAAATCACCAAATCCCTAAATTCCCAAATCCCTATATCACCAAATCCCTAAATCGCCAAATCCCTAAATCATCAAATCCCTGAATCACCAAATCCCGAAATCCCGAAATCCCCAAATCACGTATTCTCTAAATTTGATCAGACCATCATTAACTGTAGTCATCAAGAACATCTCGACTAGAGTGCAACAACCTACTAAATCGTCACCTTGAATCTACCAGAGTCGCATTTCGTATTTTCCTGCATCTCCACGTTTTTTTACCTGTAGAATGAAAACGAAGACGCTCTTTGTACTTTTATTTCCTATCTTGAATATCGTGCCATAGAAAAGCAGAGTCGCTGGTATATATACATACGCGTCGCGAACAAAGTACCCTCGGTGTGTGTCTCGTAAAATGCAAATTTCATGCGACCTTGAAGAAAAAAAAGTCGCGCCAGTTCAATTTCGCAAATACTGCGAGGAGTCGCTTCGCCAAGGTAACAGAACCTTCGGAGCGACACGGACAAATACCATTCAATTACGTTCATGAAAAGGAGCGTTTTATTTTCCTATTAAATCGGGATCGCACGCGTTAAATTTCGATTTATCTGATTACCGCATTTTTTGATGCCACGGGATTAACAGTCTCGTGTATCGTATTCGGTTACATTCGTGGACCGTTCGTTCTCTAACCCGGTTTCTAACGTAATAAACGCGCGTCCGTAAACGGGAATTTGTAATCGGATGCGTCGTCTTTTAGAAAATTTTAATTCCGAGTAATTTCGTTGCAAGACTTTCTGAATTCTAGAATTAAACAAATTTTATATTTTATGTATTTAGAGAATTATGTTTTTGAAAAGAAAATATTAAAAAACAAAAATAAAAATATTAAAATTTTTAATAATTAAAATTAAAATTAAAATTAAAATTGAGAAATTAAAACCAAAATTAAAATTAAAAAATTAAAACCAAAATTAAAATTAAAATTAAAATTTTTAATACTAAAAAGTTGTGATGTGTATATGCTTATTCTTAGACAGTTATTAACTATAATAAAATTAAATAGAAAATATTTAAAGGGTTTGTAATATGCAATTAATGAGGCATTCATCGGGAATAGTCATTATCGTAGTTCAATTACTGCGAGCATAAATAATTTATTAACGATCTTGAGTGTGATCTTGAACATTAAACATATGCGCAGTCGATAACGGGAAGTAATAAACATGTGCAGTCGATAATCGAAGGCAATAAATATGTGCAGTCAAGTTTATGCAATAAATACATTAAAATAAATATGCAATAATTATACGCGCATAATAAGAATGTACAGTTTATTAATGCGCATGCGTTATATCCAATGTCGTACGAAAAATATTTCTTCACTATCCATTGTAATTTCACCTGTAATTGCTTTCTACATTCTACTGTTAGTAATTGTTCTTTAAATACTACATCGTATAACTGTTTCTAAAAATCATATTCAACGACTTTTTAAATATTATACAGTGTGACATGTGACAGGGTGTGTGACAGTGTGAAGCGAGAGTATTAACCTATAACGATAATCACTATTCGCACTGTTCAATATACAAACTCGAAATTCACTTTTATTTGCATATTCATTTTACGGTATTAAATACAGATGAATACATTATTATATTACTTACACATTAATTATTAGACATTACACATTAATTGTTACTTCATAATGTAACGGAAACAGCAGGTACAAATAAATCACTTGTTTCCCAAACTACCTGTAATGCGTAGAGTCTGGACCGAGAGTTCAAAGTCCGCAGCTACGTCAATCACCAAATTCTCTGCGAAAAGAGACAAAAGAGAGAACGTCCATGCAAGGATCAGGATCGAAACAATGCCATTTCGTGAACAGGTACGTAAAAGCCCGCGTGTAAATAATTCGCCGGCCGGTTTCGTAGCGAGTGAGATATCACGGTGACATAACAATGCGCAGCTGGCACGCATTATCGCGAATCTCGTTCGCGCGGAATGCCGGGTTACGCGCATGCGCGCCAAATCTCCGGCCACTTTTCAGGTTATGTTAACTTTTTTCTCGATGTATTTAAATGCATCGCTTGCTCATCAAAGGTTTTTGTTAACCTCGCATAAATGAAACTATGAAAGATAAAATAGTTTATTACGTAATTTATCATTATGTAGCAGTGTTTTGATAAAACGTAAAAGGTAAAATGTAAAACATTAGTATGAATTCGATAGATAAAAATGAAGGTTAAGTTGACATTTTAACACTTGACCGGTGACATATACTTGCTGTTCGTGTTTATACTGGTACAATTATTAAAATGTGAAATTGTGTAAGTTGTCAGTATATTATTTATTGTGTTGGGCAGTTTCTGTTACTAAAATAGAACTACATATTAATGAAATTATTGATTCATCTAGATTTGATGAATTTTTTGAATTCAGTTACACGAGACAGGTGGGCAACAATGTATAGAACATACGAATGTTCAAAATAACCTCAAAATAGCGTCACTAACACAAAACTCATGTAGGTAACATTTCTCCTATCATTTTTCTGTTTGATATTAATATATATACACATTAATACAGATCAATATTTATACACATCAATAAACATTAATATTTGTACACATTAATATATATTAATTTTTATGCATATATACACACAGGTGTACGTCTCCGCAACTTCTACTCTTCTCCACAAAACAACTGTCATATTTCGGTAGTGCGACGAAGATAAATAAAAATAGAAAGTCGGTGAATGATATACGAAATAGAAGAAACTTTCCTTTTCCAATGACCGTAGTGAGGCAACGATGACCGTGTTAAAATTCTCCGAGCGTTTGTCGGCCAGGTATCAAAAGGATTTCGCGTGGAGAGGTGCGTCGAAGAAACTTGGCACCATGGGCTGTCGTAACGAGTTTGTACAATCTGCAAATTGCGAGGGGAAAGGAGGAAAGATCGCGCGAATAATCAATGACTCAGTTGGTCCACGTGGCGCTGCGTAAGAAAGTCAATGAGTTTGTTGACTCGTCGCGCCGGCAATCATTGCCAAGAAACACCGATCTTCCGTTGCTTTATGACTTTATGATTTTCACTGTATACAACCCGGATTTCCCTACTACTGTTTTGATATTTGTATTGAGGGGATATGTTTATTTAGATATTTTAGTTTTTGGACTCTAATTTTGGGGTTTATTTTAGGTTATGAAAGTGTAGGTATAGCTTCCATTTTAGAGGGTTTTAGAGATCAATATTATAGGCTGAAAATTTGTAGATTTTATATTTTGAAAATCTTATAGGGTCAAATTGAAAGTTTTCTAATTCTAAATCTTCTTAAGTAATACTGTATAAAAGTCATATTCAATGACTTTAAATATTATACAGTGTGACATGTGACAGTGTGAAGTGGAACAGGGTGAAGCGAGTATCCAGTCACCACATTCCTACGTTCTCAAATTATCTGGTGTCCAAAGTGACAAATTTTTGATTTACTATGTTCCCAAATCCTCAAATTACTAAATTTCTAAATTACCAATTCTCTTACTTTCAACTCTACAAATCTCCAAATTTCCATATTACCCAAATATTTAAATCATCAAATTCTCAAATCTTCAAATATCTAAATCTCCAAATCTCCACATCACTCAAATATTTAAATCATCAAATTCTCAAATCTTCAAGTATCTAAATCTTCAAATCTCCACATCGCCCAAATATATAAATTATCAAATTCTCAAATCTTCAAATACCTAAGTCCCCACATTCTGAAATCTTCAAATACCTAAATTCCCAAACTCTCAACTCTTCAAATACCTAAATCCCCAAATTCTCAAATCTTCAAATACCTAAGTGGGGACTTAAAGAATGTAAGCAAATTCTCAAACCTTAAAATACCAAACCCACTGCTCAAATTCTCAAATACTCAATTTCCCACATTCCCAAATTTTCAAATGTAAAATAATTCCAATTAAACAAGAAAAATTTCCAAACACCCAAATTAGCAAAAGTTCCAAATTATCTAACAAATCTAAGTAAATATTAAAAACACTGAAACGTCTACAATATTGTAACATAGTGAATATAAGTATGAAGTGTTCGTGTCAGCTGTTCGATAACGAATTTCCGTTTCGCCTTGGTAAGACAGAATAGGACCGCGTGGCACTGGTAGCGAACGTTGCCTTATGGGGATTGGCGCCACTCGGCGTAGCCATAGTCGTCGCATGGCATTAGCTGCACCCATGATACCAGCGATCGTCCACCGATCCTGGAATGGTTATTTGGGTTAAACACGTAACAAACGAATAGTCGAGCGACCAACATTTACATGTTGAGTCACGCGCCAAGTTACGCGTGTACCGAGCTACCTTATGCCCGATTTACTTGCTTCTACTTCTTCCACGGAGTAATCCGCTTGTAAAATGCATCCCTCGTTCTCCAACTACATTGTTCTACTCTATCAACAACGGCTCAAGTCGACGTTCGTCTTTTTGTCAGCTGAGAAACATGGAAACTTCTCTGCACTTCACTTTTCTTATACAAGAGGACAAATTACTATTCACATGGAATTACTGTTCACAAGTTTTTTTAGGTTTATGAAGTTATATGTTAGGGATGTTATTGATTGTTATATTTGATGAGTGATTTATTTTTAGATTGTTAAATTTAGGAATTTTTTTATGAATTGGGAAGTTGTCTAATTTTTAATGTGGTGTATGTTTAAATTATTAACATTTCAAGTTGATAAATTTCCATATGACTAATTTATTAAGCTAATAAATTTGCAAATTAGTAAATGCTCAAATTGATGAATTTCCAAATTACTGAATTTTCAAACTGGTAAATTTTCAAATTGATAAATTTCCAAATTACTAAATTTCAAGCTGATAAATTTCCAATTTAATAAATTTCCAAGTTACTAAATCTTCAAATTGGTAAATTTCCAATTTGCTAAATTTTCAAGTCGATGAACTCCCAAATTACTAATTTTCCAAATTACCAAATCTCCAAATTACTAAATTTCAAGCTGATAAACTGTCAATTTAATAAATTTCCAAATTACTAAATCTTCAAATTGGTAAATTTCCAATTTGCTAAATTTTCAAGTCGATAAACTTCCAAATTATTAATTTTCCAAATTACCAAATCTCCAAATTACTAAATTTCAAGCTGATAAACTGCCAATTTAATAAATTTCCAAGTTACTAAATCTTCCAATTGGTAAATTTCCAATTTGCTAAATTTTCAAGTTGATAAACTCCCAAATTGCTAATTTTCCAAATTACTAAATGTCCATCCTCCCAAAGGTTGATACCAGCCTTCCAAACTCCCAAATCCCCAATTTCCCAAAATTCAAAATTCTCACATCCCAAATTTCCAAAACCCTAAATTTCCACCATTTCAACACAAAATTTCCAGCTTCCCTCTGCAGTCTTAACTCCTGCAACTCCTTAACTGCAGTAACTAAAAGTACATTAATCCTTTGATACCCAAAGTTCCAAAAATACGCAGAAATCACTTTCATCCTCTAACAAGAATTATTCCATATATAGCCACCGGCGCTCCATTCAGAGAATGCCACATGGTTCCTCTTAATACACATAATCAGACAGATTCCACGAAGTGCATGCGTTCTTTATCGTTATCAATGTTCGATAAGAGGCGTAGCAGGAAAAAGGTCTCAGCGTTAATCTTCGCAGACGCAACGTTCTATTTACAAAACGATCTTAATTCGTCTCTTTATTTTCTCCCTCCAGATGGTCCTCGATTCCAGGTAGCGAGATAATAAGAAATCGTTATCGTGCCAGAACACACGCAGCCTCGTTTCGAGTTTCGACGACGGGGATAATTTTTATCGATACGCAGACTTACGCGGAATACCTTGTTTAAACTCTGGTATCGAGTTTAATTCACCCCTGCTTTCACCCTGCCACCCTCGACGCTAGGAGAAATTTTTGTATCTCAAATCGTTTTTATATTAACACTTAGAGTATTCAAATTTATTTTTACATGAGATATTATTGGTATGGTGTCCAATTTTAATTAAAGAGGCTTAATATGGATTAGTGCTATTTTTGTATGTGATAAGAATTTCACAAATTGCAAGAAGACAAAATTTTATTTTTTGTTATTTTTATATTAACACTTAGAGTATTTAAATTTATTTTTACATGAGATATTATTGGTATAGTGACCAATTTTAATTGAAGAGGCTTAATATGGATTAGTGCTATTTTTGTGTGTGATAAGAATTTTACAAATGGCAAGAAGACAAAATTTTATTTTTTGTTATTTTTATATTAACACTTAGAGTATTTAAATTTATTTTTACATGAGATATTATTGGTATAGTGACCAATTTTAATTGAAGAGGCTTAATATGGATTAGTGCTATTTTTGTGTGTGATAAGAATTTTACAAATGGCAAGAAGACAAAATTTTATTTTTTGTTATTTTTATATTAACACTTAGAGTATTCAAATTTATTTTTACATGAGATATTATTGGTATGGTGACCAATTTTAATTAAAGAGGATTAATATGGATTAGTGCTATTTTTGTATATGATAAGAATTTTACAAATTGCAAGAAGACAAAACTTTATTTTTTGTTATTTATTTATCAGTAATGTTATGTAGATTTTTATTTATCACTAATGTGATGTACATCAATGTTTTATATTTGTATTATATTTCCAGAAATAAACTATGACTATGACTATAAACAAGATGGATGACTATAAGCAAGATGGATGACTATGACTATGGTGCATGACTATAATTATAACTTTCAAAGTTACACAACATGAAAGAAATAAATTAATACATAAAATGGATTAACAGATGAACAGATAAATTAGTAGATTAACAGACCAACACAAGAACGTACTGCAATATTGAATTTACTACTATGTTGCTACTACGAATTGATACAACTTAAGGTTCAGTTTGATATCAATGTAACTAAATTAGTTTCAATCAAATCAAGCTTAATTACTATCGATTTCAATCAAAGCAAGTTTAATTACCATATACACGTATTATACAAGATATTCCAGTAAAATGTATACGCACGTTGTCGCTGTATGCAATTTGATGAATAAAATGAATGGAAGACTCAAAATGGCCGCCATCAATGCCTTTTGATGTAATTTTTATGGTTGATGTTCTGAGTGTTTGTGTATTGCTGTGTATTCATCTATTTATCTATGTGTTTATTTGTATAAGTAGCTGTCTATTTATCTACATATTTATTTATTTATTTATTTATTTATCTGTTTATATACCTGTTTATCTCTTTATCTATTTATTTATATATTTATTTATTTATTTGTTTATTTATCTAGCAATTTATATACGTACCTGTCTATCTCTTTATCTATTCATCTACCTATTTATCTATCTATCTATTTATTTATCTTATTTATCTACCAATTTACCTAACAGCTTAGCCATCAACCCATATACATTCACATATACGTATAAATATTGCTACCATCTTGATTCCAGTGACCACACATTCATCAATTAACAGAAGACAAGTAAAGTTACAATTAAAAATTCAACAACACGTTTTCATTTCAATTTGTCTACACAAGGACAAGAATTATAATATTTTCATTCGACGACGTAATATCGTGCGCGTTACGATCGGGGTTTATTGCACCTTTTTATTGCCCGTTCTCGGCGATAACGCGCGATATCGGTTTATTCTCCTTCGCGGTTATTAATCTTTTCCAACGTCCACGTGTAATTGCTTCATCGGCGTAAAACGAGAAAGCCTGATGGACCATACGACAAAAATGTTATAGATCGTTTGACCGAGATACACGTGTCGAGGAACTGCCTCGATAATCTAAGCTCGTTCCAATTAATATTGTGCAACACGAACGCAATCTTTTGCAGTTTGTTTGTTTAGCTGGGTTATCGGCAGAAACGCGATCGTTGGATCCGATTCGAAGCCAAAACAAAAATTTCACCTTCTTATCGCTGAGCATGCATTCCTCGTAATCGGTCGTTAATCAGGTTTAGATTTTAGATTAGTATCGTTCAATTGCGTGAACATAGTTTAACATGTTCAAACACATGTTCATTTCAATAGTACAATGTGAGAAAATAGAACGAAATATTTAATTAAATATTGTATAATATAATGTAACTGAGACTTCAGATATGTACAGATGTACAATGTACAGATGTCAACCCATGAGTTAGCGCGGGGTACAAAGTAAAAGAAGCTCTATGAACATTTGCAGTGACATACAAATAAGAATAATAATGACAACTGCTGAACGCAAGTAGCATCTCACTTGAGAGACGTTTCAAGACTGTCATTGTTTTTCGCCTAATTGGTGTGCGTGACCGCGAGAGCCAATCTACCGCCGAAAATACGTGCGAGTGGCGTCCATTTTTCTATTCTGACCAATTGTGCCGTAGCTACTTGGGTTGTACCGATTTGGAGATGTGGGAATTTGGGAATATAGCGATTTGGGGCTGTAGCGATTTGGGTAGGTGAGAATTTTGGAATATGGGAATTTGGGAATGGAGGGATTTGGGGAGGTGGGGATTTGGAAGGGTAGGTATTCGTGAATGTTGGAATTTGGGGATATGGCGATTTGGGGATGTGGGGATTTGGGTGTGTGAGAATTTTGGGATATGGGAATTTAGGGATGTAGGGATTTGAGGGATGCATGGATTTGGCAAGGTTGGGATTTGGAGATGTAGGAATTTCGCAAGATTGGGATTTGCGGATGTGGGGATTTGGGGATGTGGGGATTTGGGGATGTGGGGATTTGGGGAT